GTGTGTGTGTGTGTGTGTGTGTGTGTGTTTGGGTGTATATGTGCGTTTGTATGTCCAGTTTTTCCAGTTTGGCATTGTACAGGTTTAGATGCTGATCTTTTGACTGTTTGCTCCTCGACCAGTTGCTGCCCCAGAAATATCAATTTTTACGCACATCTGCGTCTCATGGATACCTGAAAGTTTTGGTCGAAAGACTGCTGAAGCAGAAGATAGAAAAGCTTAGAAGCTGATAGTTTAGAAGGATTTCCCTTGTCTGGATGCTCTCCAAGGGTTTAAAATTTAGCGCATAAATACTGCTAGGTCTCACGTACGGGCATGTGGAAGTTTTGGTGGGAAGTTTTCTAATTCGGGAACCAGAGAACATTTCGCTACCTTTGCACGTATACCGTAAAGCAGTGGGCATTAAAAGCAAATGTCGCTGGACCGAACTGTGCAAAATGCATGATTGCACCGGCTAGTTTGGTGTACGTCACTGCTTATTTTCGATGTGAATTGACCAAAATTTTTGACTTCCGTCTGTCGGAACTGAGGAGGACGAGAGAAGGAAAGGGATGAACATCCATGAAATCTGCTCTATCGTGGCTCGTATGCTACAAAAAGAATGCTTCTCTGCTTTGGTACTACATTTGATATGAACAAGCCCGATGTGAAAGGGATGGTTATTGGGTACCGGTTCGCCCCCTCCTCGTCGTGCTTTTCCATTATTTTGTTGTTCTCTCAACATGATCTGTGACAATCAGCGATTATTCTATTTCCAGCGATCGTGACCAGAGGCAGCGTGAGGAAGCTCTACGGGATTTTCGAACTGGTGCAGTTAAAGTACTTGTTGCCACCGATGTATGTGCTCGCGGACTGGATGTGAAGGATCTTGAACATGTTAGTGTGCAAATTCCATTCCATCACATAAGCCCAGAAATACTCGCGTTACTGAAGCGCAAATGTTAATTTTCATCTTTGTGGGAATGAGTAGTAATGCACGCGATGGGCGTAACTGCGCGGGTCTGGGAGTGCATTGCTATGAATCGCATTCTAACGGCTCATTTTTCTTGCGTTTCTTTTCGCGGCATTTCTTACACTGCTCAGCTCCATGTAACTTTAGCCATGTAATTTTAGGTGATTTTTTTTGTTCATCACTTTTTCACCATTTCCGTAGCATCAGATATTACGGAAATGGTGAAAAACTGATGAATAGAAGACATCCATAGCTTTGGGAAACGAGAATTGTAACGTTCGGGCGTGGGAGGAGCTGGAGATGGGATCCTGCCTAGCGGGGAAATGCAACACCAAGTAACACTTATTTATTAGAGCAATATTAAAGAAATCGAAAAAAAAAAAGAAAAAAAACAACAAGCTAACCAGGGATTCCCCCGGCAGCAGCTCCAGGCTGCCGCCGCACACTCCCAGATCGTGCAAAACTAAAAAGTTACAATCACCATTTCATTTTCAATCATCACATTAAATATCACGGAGGGAGGAACTCGAGCCAAGAGACGGGGCATTTACATACTGGAAACCGAAGGGCAACTGGACAAGGCGAAGGGGGTTGAGCCTCCAACCTCGCTTCCTTGTTACTCGCTCCTTCTTCCTTTTGCAACAGAATAGCATCCACAGCTTTACCAGCACATGGTTGCTGATGACATGTGACATATTGCTGCGACTGTATCCGAGTGATTCTCTTCCCATCAAAGGAGCTATAAGGGGAAATGGAGTTTTTCAGCTTTATTTCATAGTTACTATCGATAAAAACGATGCTAGCAAGCAAGTAGCCCGGTTTTTTTAGAGAGCAGGTAGTTTGTGTCGAGACTTTAAACGTGAGAAGCATTTGGTGCATTGGCTTCAGCTGTCCGTGTATCTTCTTCATTGCTTGATGCTTTTTAAACTCATTTTCATCTCCTTTTCAGGTGATCAACTATGACATGCCACATGACCGAGTGACATACGTCCACCGCATCGGTCGCACCGGGCGTCTGCACGAAGGCAAAGCGACATCTTTGATCGATCCTGTCCGCGACAACGTCATCATCGATTCGATCGTGAAGGTTTCTGATTCAATTAGCAGTCCAATTCTAAATCTTCAAAGTTTTGTTAACGGAGGTGGCTGGATTTTGCGGAGACGCTTTACGATATTTTAATATAAATTGATCAAAAGGAGGAGGAGGAGGTTTGACTGGAAACTAAGTTCAGGATGGTGAGGGCTTTAAACCAGCTTCTTACATCAGTGGAATGAAACTGTTTTATATCAATGGCCTTGTGCTGCAGTATCCCATAAGCCGCACACATCTCGATGTTGCCATACTTCTGCTGTTGTTTTTATCTGAGCCATACCTACAAGTTCATTTTTTCAATCACTACTTAATCGTATTAATTTCAGGTAGTGCAAGAAGTGCAGCAGGTTCCGCCTCAGTTCATGCTTGACTTAGCTCGAGGATATGGCTCGCTGCGCCAGACTGGTTTGTTGTTTTTTATTGTTTTATTGAGCTCTTTCTTATTCAGTTATTTTGGAAGAGAATTTTATGAAGTGACCAAAATGGTACCGTACTTGTCCATCTTTTTGCTCAGATCTCAACTGTAAGAGCAGTTTTCCTTCATTTTTCAAGTTTTATAATTTTAGGTTTTGGATCCGGCGGTTTTTCCAGCGGCACAGGTGGCGACGGCTTTTCGAAAGGTTCCTCGAAAAGTGAAAGTGAGTTTTCCCTAATTATTAAGTTTTTATCCGATACGCAACGCGAATTGTTTTAAGTCAAATCGGCAAACTTTAGACATTAACAGTAAAGTGCGTACTGGGGACGTTTGCATTCCTGAAAGTGCTGGGAACAAATGCATTCGTCGCATTAGTTTTATTACATTAACGACAAAGGTACCCATAAAACGTAGAGAAAACTGTTTTTACAGGCGTCGCATCGACGCATGCTTTGCAGTACTCTAATAGCCTTGTTGTCCGTTGTTCCCCTAACAGTTTGTTTCGAGTTTGGCCGGAATAAATAAGTTTTGAGTGCGCCCCGGTTTAAAATGCATTTTTTCTTACCAATCGTAGTGAAGTTGTCTGTGTGTGTGTCTGTGTGTGTGTTTGTGTGTATCTGTGTGTGTATATGTGTGTGTCTGTGTGTGTGTCTGTGTGTGTGTCTGTGTGTGTCTGTGTGTCTGTGTGTGTGTCTGTGCGTGTCTGTGT